AAATTCAAATCCACTGAAATATAAGTCAAACTTTCCTCCATCCCTTTATTCACAAGTACTCCTATTTCAGGCTCCTTACACTTCTTGTATATGTTTCTTTCTCTTTGTAACCATTGATCCTATTTCAGTCATTTTTCATCTGTTTCTTGAGCCACTGACTTCACTTCCTTAACATGATACTTTTTGTTATCCTTCTCCAATCTACCATCCATGTTGAGCCAGAGGTAAACTTTTGAAAAAAATAATTCCAATCATGTCACACCTTAAACATTCTTCAATAGTTCCCCAACACTTTTAAAATAAAATATAAATACTCCAAGCTCCAGTCTCACATCTAGCATCCCATCCTCTCCTAAGCTCTGTGAGCCTACCAGGTGCCAGGTACTGTACTTGGTGCTTTATTGCACATGCACTACCTTCTTTCATTCTTACTACAAATTATTTTCCTCATTTGACAGATGAGGAAACTGCAGTTTAAGGAGATGAATTGACTTGTTAGCATCAAGACTCAAACTAAAGCTTATGTTATTAAGCACTGCATAGCTTCTATTTAGAACAGAATGTTAAATGAAAAACAGGATAGGAATAAATTGTTGATGGCTCTGACATATCCACTAGAAAAACTTACCACTGTAATCAGACTTACTCTTATGTTATTCCTTTTCAGGTAATACTCAACTTATATTCACTACCTTTTTCAAAGGCTACATGATGGTGTGTGTGATATGTTATGCTACATAACCTCTAATATCTAAAGCTAAAGTTAGTGTCTTTAGAAATTTTGGTGTAAGTGGTTGGTAAAGTATGATGAAGCTTAAGCAGTGATTTTTAAAAAATTTTTGCTATACAACAGAATCACTCAGAGAAGTTGGTAAAACCTTGGAACTCACCCTCAGTTTCTAATTTAGGAGGTCTGAGGTAGTATTTCTAATTATTTCCTCTGTGATACTAATGTTACTGGTCTGGCAACTACTTTGAGAACTGCTGGCTTATGGGAATCACATAACACAACAAATGCTATTTGTTAGACATCTGCCTTCCTTTCTTCTCCTATTCTTATTACTCATGAACAGGAATTACAAAATCTTTCAAAGAATTACTACTCACAAAGAAAGAACAATGTAAGACTTTAAATCAGATACTCATTCACACTGGCAGAACAAATTTCTTTTTCCATTTATTTTTATCTTGTTTAAATCCAAAATAGTAGTACTTTATGATAAGAAACAGATACAATAAAATTTCTGCTTGAAAAATAATTATAACATATGAACTGCTTTTTTGTGATTTAAAATTTTGAGTTTCCCTGAAAAAGAATATCTCCTGCTATTCCATATATAAATTCAGAAGAATGAATTTCAGAGTAAACATGAAAGCAAGAATTACCACTTCATGTGTTCCAGAGTGTTCACAATCAGAAATGTATCACCTAACTATAATGCAGGATCTTTCTAGATAACTGGATGTAGCATAAAGATTAATGCTTTGCTTCCATTAACTGAAACTTTTTTATTGTGTCACACATTTTTACAGACGTGAATCAGAAGACCTGCTCTTCATCCCAGCTCTCAACCTAATGAGCATGATCATTCTGAATTATTGATTTAGCCTTTCTGAGCCTCAGTTTCCTTATCAGCAAAAAAGAATAATATCACATTTCCCATTTCCATAAACATAGGATATTATTTTCATCATATCAGATAAATGACATTTCTTGCCTATAAAAATAAATTTGCTATTGCTACCAATAGTTGTGCTGCTCTCCATTATTGAGTGTATCAACTTGCTACAACATTCTTTACTTATTGATTCTTTATTCTATTGATTTTGTTGAATCCTCACTTTAAACCTTTCTGAGAAAAAAAAAACAAAACAAGCTTAACAATATCAGATCTTCAACAAGGCAGTCAGTGTCACAGATGAAAAAGGGACATCATGAAACAAATTGAATCATAAATGCAAGGTGTGAACCTTGTTTGGACCTCACTGAAAAAGACAATCAAGATAAGCAAGACAATCAAGACAACATTGACATATACTAGGAAACTGATACTATGGAATCATGTTAATTTTGTTACATTTTGTTAACTAATGAAATGTCCTCATTGTTTATAGAAAAACATATTGAAGTATTCAGGGATAAAAGATCATTATATTAGGAATTTGCTTGCAAATATATCAGCAAAAAAAAAAAAAAAGAAGAAGATATGGCAAAAGCTGGGGATGTTGCTCAGGGGCAGAGTATTGATCCAACATGAGCAAGGCCCTAGGTTCAATCCCCAACACTGCAAAAAAAGAATATATGACAAAATTTTTATTACTGTTAAATTTAGATGCTGAGAACATAGAAGTTTCCTATAAATTATTTTTACTTTTATGTACTTTGAAGATTTACATAATTAAAACTTAAAAATACAATATTAGATTTATAACAACTAAACCCTAAATATAACTAAATAAAATATGTAAACTTTATTGATGAGAGAGTAATTCATTAAAGAGTCATGGTATTAAAACTAAATGTTAATGACTCATAAAAACAGTATGATAAAGACACATTTCTTATTAGTAAGCTTACCTCCGGTGCAGTGACTCTGAAAATTTAAGGCTGGCATAAATAAACTCTTTAACTTGAATGTATATATGAGGCACTGACTGAGACATGGGGAATTTTTTGGGGAAAGATTGCTGTAGAAAGAGAAAGTAAATATTGTTTTTGAAAATTTTGGAAAAGTCACTCTAATCATTACAAAATATAAAAATTAAATTGACCTCATATTTGAATTAATAGTAAATAATTACATAAATTCTATTGCTGTTTTTCTACTTTATTTTTTATATTTTAAAGAAATCCAAAATAATTCTGAAAAACTGCAGCATTTTAATCTTATACTTAAAATCATTTTAGTATACTTCCAACAAGCAGAGACAGCACATATCAATACCTCTTTGTATTCTGATGATGAGCATTGTACAGAAAAAAATCTAATAGCTTACTACTTTGTATCCATAATACTTGTATACTTTGCATGATCTCATACTCCCATGATTTCAATGACCATGCAAATGTCAGTATTTCCCAAATCTACAATTCCAGATTGAATCTTTCTCTTAATGTCCAAATCCATATATCTAACTACCTACTGGACACTCCCTTTGGTTATACTATTTCAGACACAATAGATCCAAAAGTGAAATGATCATCTCTTTTATTTTTCAAAACCTGTTCCTTTTGTGTTTCCCATCATAGTGAATACCACCACTATTCAAGATAGAAATTTAGTTATTATACTTGACTTCTTTTATTTTCCTTATCCCTCATAAGCAAATAACCATCAGCTTCTGTTGTTCAACTTCCTAATTACCTCCTAAGTCAGGTTCCATAACTATAGCCCCTATTCAGGTCACCAACCTCTCTCATTTGGATAACTGTAAAAATGTCTTAGCTGGACTCCTTGCTACCAGTCTTACTCTTTCCAATCATCACAGATTAGCCAGAATGATATTCCTAAAGCACAAATCTAATTATGTTGTTACTGCTTAAAACTTTTCAGTGACTTGCCTCTGAGGCTAAACTCTCCAACATTATTGACAAGAGCTATTATGGTCTGACCCTTTCTATTTCTCCAATTACATTTCTTTCTTTCTTTTTTGGGGAGCTACAGAGGATCTAACCCAGGACTACTTTACCACTGAGCTACATTCCCAGCCATTTTTTATGTTTTATTTTGAGACAGGGTCTCACTAAGTTTTGAGGCTAGCCTCGAACTTGCAATCTTCCTGAGTCACGAGTATTACAGGCATCTTCCAATTACATTTCTGGATCTCCATCTACTAAACTTCATCAACTATACTTTACAGAATTACAGCCTTCTACATGCAGAAATGATTTTTCTAAATTAGGAGCTTAATCTAAGGAATAAATGAATATATTGGAAGCTCCTCACAAGAAAATTTTATTTTAAATTATAAACCTACTTAGAATTATTTAGCATAATTGGAAAGGACAGTAAACATCACTCAGTTCTACCTCATTTGACAGATTAGATTAGGCCCTAATACCCAAATAAGGTAAGTCACTTGGCCATAGTAAGCTACAAGCAGAGCTAATGTGCGAATCCAGCTTGGTCCAGTGCTTTATTTCAGTGGCAGGTGGGGGTAGGTATTGAGGATTTAACCCAGGGGTACTTTACCACTAAGTTATATCCCTTGTGCTTATTTTTTATTTTGAGACAGGGCATCACTAAGTTGCTAAGACTAGCCTCAAACTTGTTACCCTCCTGTCTCAGCCTCTCGAGTCACTGGATTATAGGTGTGCACCACAACACCTGGCTGGTTCAGTGCTCTTGACACAGATGCTATAGTCTGAATGAACTCCTTACCAGTAACTACAAACAAAAGAAAACAAAACCAAGCCATGAGAGGGAGAATATTCTAGTAATGTTTCTTGACACAGGGACAACTCTGGGACTTTAAAAAATATAGAATAAGAATTATTCTGATCTTTTAGCAATGTTAGCTATAATCTAAAAGCTATGCATTTAATTGGTTTTTTTCTATATTGAGTGATTATTACACATTTATGACTAAGTTGTACATAAAAATATGACAAAAACTTACAGTCACAATTCACTCTGAATTCAGTCTTGCTTATTCTGACAATAAAGATATAGAAAATAAGCAGGTGCATGCCTGTAATCCCAGCAGATAAGGAGGCTGAAGGATACAAGAAGATCACAAGCTCAAAGCCATTATCAGCAACTTAGCAAGGCCCTGTCTCAAAAAAGAGCTGGGGATATGGCTCAGTGGTTAAGTGCACCTGGGTTCAAACCCTGGTACCATACACAAAAAAAGTAGAAAAGCACTGAATTTATAAAGAACTGAAAAAAAAAATAAGAAGCAAAAACAAAAATAAAGAAAATAAAATAGGTGACAGCTGCAGGAAATATGCTATTCATATTCATATTCAAATCTCATAAGATCTGAATCTCTCCAGCAACACTGGATAAGTGTAATTGTGTGTGTGTGTGTGTGTGTGTGTGTGTATGCACTCATGTGTATCCCAGAATATCCCTCATATTGATCTACTTCCTTTCTCTACCCTATCTTTTATTTAGGTATCTTGACTCTAAAAATATATCCCTTCTTCCAGAGGAAATATGCAAGGAGCTATTGCCTTCATATATCTTTTACTTAACCAAGATAAAATTTTTATAGAACTATACTTCCTTTAAAAAGCCACAATAAGATTTTCCACAGTGCTGAATATTTCAAAGAAATTCTCTTCTCTTTCCCTCGATATATTCTTATTAAAATAATTCATTCAACATTTAGTACATATAACTTGGAATTCACTCAACGTAAGTACTTGCCATAAGAATCCACCTAACATTTGGGATAACATTTCCTTCTGGCATCCCCAGGAAAGCCCTTCTTCTTTTCATCAAAATAGTAGAATAATAGCATAATCTTTAAAAGCTAACAAAATATAAATAATTTTCTCAAATAATACAACCAAAAAATTGTTCCAAAAAGCCATTCTTATTTACAATATCAGGTTAATTTTATGTCATAATACAGACCATGAATTTATTTTTTTAAATTCTTAAATTAAAAACTAATTCATACCTTCTCAAGGTCTGGATCTTGAAAGGGAAACTTGCTGGTGACTATTTTATATTCTTCTTCACTGACAATAGGGATGGGGCTATAATTATCTTCTTCAAAAATATCCCTGTTAAGAAAGGAGAATTAAAAAATTATTAGAAAATATATCATTAAAGCATTACAAGACAGTATCTTAAGAGCCCAACTACAACAAAAGCATTTTTATTTGTCAGTTATAAGTCCAAATAAGAAAATACTGTCTAATCATCTACAATTCTAAAATCCAGTATAAGTCTTGTCTCTTTGTCATGTGTCATGTGTTATATCCTGCCAGTACTTTCAGTTTTCTAGTCTAGAACAATTCTTAAGATATAGTCTGAACCAGAAGTTCATCATTGGCATTAAAAACATATCCACGAGATGAAGCATATTCAAATCAGATTTTAAAAAATATTATCAGTTGTAGATGAATATAATACCTTTAATTAATTAATTAATTTTTATGTGGTGGTGAGAATTGAAACCAGTGCCTCATATGTGTGAGACAAGCGCTCTACCACTAGCCAGAACCCCAAGACCAATCAGATTTTTTTGATACAGAGAGTTTTCAAATTGTCTTGTGCCTTCTCTCTTCCCAACTAGACCACAAGCACTTGATGAACCAAATATTATATTTATTTAGTTTCTCATAATGTTGTGATTATAAAGGACCTTTTATAGTTAGTGAGACAGAGACATGTACTACTGATCACCTATTCATGTGCTCCCCTACACAGCCCCCCTACAGTTAGGAAGGATCACATAACTAGTTGTTGTCACTGGCTATGAACGGAAGGGATACTTTGAGTTTAAAGTATTTATGAGCTAACTGTGTAACCCTCCTCCCCATAGTGACAAAGGAAGCAATATGTTGAGGAGACAGAATCACAAATATAAATAGCTTGGATCTCTGATTACTAAACCCACTGTAGACTTCAGTATAAATAAGAAATTGTCTGTGTAGAGATTTGGGGAGTTTTGTTGTTTTTCTGTAGCTGCAGTATAATACAGCCTATCCTAAGGTAGATGCTGCTGTTCAATTAGTTATATATATATTTATTTGCAGATGGACACAATATCTTTATTTATTTATTTTTATGTGGTGCTGAAGACTGAACCTAGTGCCTCACATGTGCGAGGCAGG